AATGAAAAATTGTCAGTCTGGGTTCTCCCAAGTGGATTGTGTGAGCTGCTGCAGGCTCATGATATGAAGCCACCAGGAGGAAGCGCACACCCTGAAAAGGACTGTAATTTGTCTTTCTTCCTTTGCACTTTGCTTCATTTTAATTTCAGTTGGCATCTGGCTCTGATGCCATCACCTTTTTCCAGTTCCTACTTCACAATGTCCTGAGCACAGAAGTGTCTCGTCGTAAATCACAAATAAGAGAGGATGGACTGGAAGTCAGTCCGCACTTTATCAGTGTTTGTGACGGTACACGGTGAAGATTATGATCTGGCATTTAAACAATTGATTGGATTTGTTTTCTTTTCAGCACATTCTTTAAAACTTTCATGGCATTTGGCATCTTTACGCCTGAAGTGATTTCATTGAGTAACATCACTGATGGAACTTGACATTTGTTAGACAGCAGAGCCGGCTCAGCTCATCCGTCAGCCACGCTTCCATAATTCAATAATTCCAGGTGCCAGTAGCATAAACGATGCATACAAAAATAAATATGTATGCCCCCTTGTTTTCTGTTTGCAGCCATGGTACCTATAAATCCGATGTGGAGACAAGGTGCTGATGTCTTTCATTCTTCATACAGACATGCCCAAAAACTACTTGTTAGCAGACTGTTGACTCTTATTTTACAGATAGAAAAAAAAAGTTTATTTAAATACAAACAGTTTTCCTTAAATATATGGTGATAGGTTGTTTTCTTTTTTACTGTCCTGTTTAATATTAAATTGTCTCATAGGAGGTCCTTTAAGTATATATATTCATTTTAGCTTTGGTCCTATGGTGAATTCTGGTTGTGTCTACAATTGTTAATGATACAAGATGGAAGGGGAAATTAGATTTATGCATGCAAATGATAGCTGATATCCATTAATGGACATATAGTTCTGTCTGAAACAATGTGCTGCACACTTTGTCTTTGTGTACGTACAGTTTCCATATTAATATTGCACACATCAAAAAATGATTCCTGTACTTTGGGTTTGTGTGATTGCCAATAAAAGGAAGCCAAACTGCCTCCATGTGTTAGCTGTGAATGCAGTTGGTGTTGGTCAGATATAATGTCCATCCATCACATACTATGGACTGTCCAAGTGTTTCACTTTCGTCCTTCCTTTCGTCTACTGTAGTTACATTTCAGTTTCTTTGGTACTGTGTGCCTTACATTACTTACACTTTCCTTCTTCCGGTATTCTGTTATGTTTCCTCAACACCTCACTCAGGTTCATTATGAAAGGGTGCATGCTTGTAGGGTACTTACTTAGAGGACAACACATGCACTTCTTCTTTCATCTTCTTTCATAACCCCATGTAGAAATTAACTACAATTACACACATACACAAACTGGCAGGCAGGTTGGACCCCAGGGCTCGGTTTTGGAGGAAACTCCCTTTGTAATTTTCCTCATAAAGGCTCTAATGAAGACTAATGATGGAGCAATGCGTGTGTGTCGGTGTGTGCGTTTCTTTTAACAGCCTGGTCTCTCTGTCTGGGAATATTTCTGTTCTCTTTGCTTCTTCTTTCCAGCTCCTAATCCTAGTTTCATTCATTTTATTCCATTGCTTTTGTTTAATTATTTTCCAGGACACTTAAGTATTTTGAGCCTTGATTAATCTACAGTGCCTTTTGACTCATTGTTGTTACACATGTTATCATCTATACCATATCATATTGTTTAGTTTGGCTCTTTATTTCTAAGTCCATTACTTATTTTGTCTTATTCTTACTAACAAAAATAATAAAACTTTAAAAAGTTCTACTGTGCACATAATGTAACTTTGCTTATGGAAGGGAACTGTTTCCTATCCAACTGGAAAAGATTAGATGTTGTTGAACTTTCCAATCTTTTTTTTTTTTTTCCCAGAATTTACCCTTAATGAATATTTTCACTTTTTTGTCAGAGGGACTGTGCTGCGTACTGTACCATTTCTTAGTCTTGGCAATCCTTTTAATGCAATAGCTGTAGCTTTCTATAATCATTTTCCCTAACAAAAGAAAAGCATTCCTTGGGAACTCCATGCCGATAAATATTGCTTGTTCACCACAGGAGTGCACATACAAACACACACAATAAAAATAGCAGGCATAAATGCTAATTGAAACTAAAATATAACAATCAAATTTGCAGTGGTTTTACTTCTCTTGAAATTTTAGCTCCTCACCACCAGCTCTGGTGTGTTTCTAAGTGCTCCAAATTGTAGCTCATTATTCAATTTTGAATATTCTTTGAAAGTCTGTTTTTGCTTAAAAATGTTCTTGTGTTTTACTTCTCACTGTTACCCATTTGGTTACTTTGTTTGTATGTTCCCTCCTAGTGCCCATCAATTCCCCTGCTACCTTTCTTACTGTTTTCCTCTCCTTGTTTCTCCTCATCCCATTTTCTTTCCTTTTGGTGCCATGTCCACCCTCAGATTCTTCAATCTCTTTTCCCGCATTGTAACCTTACCATTCTTCCTCGTTGCCTTCTTTCCTTTCCATCTATCCTTCTTCATATTTGGCTGTTTTTCCTCACCGTCCATCGCTCAGTGTTTCTGCCTCCATTAGGGGGAAATGGAAAAAGTGACATCAGCTATTTGGTAAACGGAGAGAGATGGAGAGACAGAAAGAGACAGAAGATGAAGTGGAGGATGGAAAAATGAAAAGCAAAGGTCAAAAGAGTGACAGAGGGAATGATTGTTAAAGAGAGAAAAAAAAGGAACCGGAGGAAGAAATAAGGTGAGTGTCAGCGGTGAGAGCGAAAAAAAAGACAAAAATGAAAGAGAGAGACGGGTAGAGATCCATTAAAGAGAGGGTGAGAGAGAGAGAGGGAATGGCCTCACCTCATTAACCTCATAATGCAGAGTAAATATACAGTCTAAATGGAGCATAGACCACGTGTGTGTTTACTTTCAGGCTTCTCTCTCTGTGTGTGCTCATCCTATACATTACTGGAATACCCAGTGCCTCTCTTTGCATTAGGGGTTTATGTGTGTTTGCTATTCAGAAATACCTTAGTGTCTGTACAATGTCACAGACAGTTATTTCTACACGGAGAAGAAAGCAGGTTGCTATGAAGAGATGGTGATAAGTTGGCTTCTGCTGCTGAGGATCATCAAAGACAGAGGTGAAAAACAAAACTGTTCACATTGAATACCCCTTTTTCGTCTTGGTTGTTTTTATTTCACCTTCAACAGTTAACCTGTAAAAAAGTGAAAAAATGATCAGATTGTTGAGCTATTAGAACATTTTTCCTAATGGGAATTAGTTTTAACTATTTGTTTCATTATTAGTTTGTTTCATTGGGTGGTTTATAGTGTCCCGTTTTATACAATTTATATTGAAACAATAAGTGAGGAAAAGCAGTTGAAAGTTTATCTGGTTTTGAAAGTAAAGAAAATGAAGAAATCCTGTAAACCTGCAACCTACCAGATGGCCAGATGGGGCTGCCTCTGCTGGAAAAAAGAAGAGGTCTGCATGCAGTTTTCAACCTCAACATTGTGGTCTATTCTAAGATAATGAGACATTTTTGTCACGTGTAAATTCTTATTTACTCACTATTGAAATAACTAACACAGGAAAAGAACACACTCGTCTTTGCTCTCTCTGTTTGTCCCGACCCACTGGACAGAAATGACCAAAGGAATGGACTGGAGGCTAAGCATTGATGAAAACAATTCTAGGAATATGATGTTGACAAAGGTCTTCACAGCTGAACATGCTGAAAATGATCCCTTGTTTAACCTTAAAGTGGCCTGTAACTGGACTCCTTTGCAGAGTGTCCCTTACACAGACTGGAATATTCATCGTGTTGTTGGCTCCCTGGTGGTTTGTTCCATGCATGAACCTCTACTGTACCTGCCTACTGCCTACCTGGCAGCTATCACACCGACTAGCTTTAATACAGGGGCATGTTCTCTCTGTCTCGTGTCTTTGAAAGCTGCCTAATGACTGTTCTTTTCTTCATCTTTAGATATCAGTTATGCCCCCTTGTGGAATCCCATTCAAGCAGGTAGCACACAGAGAATACACACACGACAGAGCATGTGTGACTGGACAGTATTGGACAAACCCATTACATCCTCACATTAACCTTTTGGCTTCCTAACATATATTCCTGTTTAACCCAGTGGTGCTGCAGGTCTATTACAAGGAGCTGGTTCGAAGTTGTTTCGAGCTAAAAATCAGTTTTGCTGCTAACAGCCACATTAATGAATCACTATTAAAGTCTCTTTAATACATTTTGACATTACTTCCAATTTGTTCTGAATTTCTGTGGAGGATCACACTGTAGGGGGACATTTCATGTTCACAAAAAAAGAAAAAAGTTAGTATCTGTCTTTTTCCCCACAGAATTGTGTCTTATGAGTTTTAGTTGGAGTTTGTAAATGCATGTTATGGCATTGACTGACAAATACTGACCTTTTTTTCTTTTTTAAAGGGTGACCAAAAAGGGACTATTGCTCAAATATAGTTAATACCAACTACCAATTTTAAAACATCAGACAACGTAGACACTGTTATTGTTAAAAATGCTTAATAAAGAATATAAATGACACTCAACTTTTAGCACATCTGGCCAGTCTATATCACTTTGCTCCAGCCACCATAATTTGTTATTCTCACATGATTTTGGGGTTCTAACAGGGAGAAATCATCCTAAGTGTGCCATTAGCGGTCATCCAGAAGTGGGTCTGCTGGAACAGATGATCTTCAGAAAAAAAACAAACATTGTTTTTTTTGTTTTTCCTAAGAAATGAAAATGACTAAATAAATAGTTGACATATTTAAGTGCCATTAGTAGATGGTTTAAAACACCACAAGAGAGCAGTCATTATAATACTGTATATTTGCAGTCAGCTCAAACCCAGAGAACAGTGACAGACTAAGAGATCATCAGAAAAAAAACAACAAAAAACAAACAAGAAATGCTGAATGCTGTCTCTATCTACACAGTATCCCTTTAACCCCAAGTCCCACCCACCCGGTCGTCGCCCTCCCATATTCTTCCCGTGCACATTTCAAATAGTAATCGACAAATAAACAAAACACGCAGTGGGATAAACAAAACGTCAACACAACAGTTTGCACTCTTAGTAGGTCAGAGAATGAGGGAAACAAAGGTTTCTGGTGTTTGGCATTCTGAGGAGCGCTTGATATCTACACCTGCAGTACGTTTTGTCATCATAGAGGATCAATAATTGTTTTTCTATAAACATTTTTGTAAATCCAAAAAAAAGATTGCAGATTTCGGTTTGTGTTTTATACAGTTTGCTTTTGGGGCAGTTTTAAAAAAGTGTTCTGTAGCTATAATTTGACAAACACCAGAAACTGTACTACGTCTTCCTGATCTCAGGAACAGGGATCAAAATGTGAAAAGGTCCAACATCAAGGAAGAGATTTCAACAGACCTTTAGGATCATACTGTGTCTAAAAATCACTCCTTTGTAATAAAAAACGTTTTTTTCTTTCTTTTCTTTTTTTTTCTTCTTTTTTTTCCTTATGCATTTCAGAAACTGAATCCACAGTTACTTAAGGGTAATAGAAAACACTTCATACATTGAAAAGCTGCAACCAACGTTTTCAGAGTAATTCCTCCTTCACAAAGAGGAAGTGAGAAAAATTAAAAGATAAAGAATAGATGTTGAAGGGAGAAAAAGGTCAGGAATCATGCAAAAGAATTGATGTCTTGAAGGAGGAACAGCTGTTTAGTTTACCGACTAAAGGAAAGTGGGTAGAAATTAAACCAAAGAGTGGGGAAGTGTTTATAAGGGGGAGGAAGAAGAAAAGAAGAAGAGGAAGAGTCAGAAGTACGGAGGGTATGAAAGTTAAGATAAGTCAAATGACAACATAAGTTTTCCCATGCATTCTTTTTAGTCCCTGTATGGAAAACAAAACTCAATTAAACACAAGAGACAGAAAAAACCTCTTGAGTTGTTTTCCTCTAATAGTTTGTACTCTGTATTCTTTTTAAAACCCTCTTTTTTATTCTTTAGATCCCGATCGTCTGATTGGCTTATGGAGTCCAGTCAGAAGGGATGGACCGCTAACAGGCCTGCGTGAGTGGAAGTTTCAGTCAAAATGGGGAGGCTGGCCCTTTCCTCCTCTTCATATTACCACACTCGTCTTGTCGGGACTAGTCAAAAAAAGGTGTTCCTGCAGATTCCATCAGGCCATTAGACAGTCTGTAAAAGTCAAAGTGGACTTCTGGTTAAAAAACTTCCGCTGTCTCTGTCCAAGTGGAGCAGAGGGGACTTCCTTTGTTGCTTTTTCCTTTTGTCAGGAATGATTATACATTGTTCAGTTCAGGAAAAAAAAAAAAGAGGAAGGGTTCTGAAGAATTGGGGGGGGGGGGAAGGAACGAATTGGGTAAAGTTAGTGTGAAGACAGGGATAAAGAAAAGTCAGAGATGAAACCCCAAAAAACAAGTCCAAAAGAAGAAGTGCGTCTCTTAGTAGTCTCATTGTTTCCTTTAAAAGTGTCACTTTCCATCCAGGATGGAGCCCAGCCTGACGGAATCTCTGCAGCGGTGGTCCAGGCGCTAGTGGAAGCTGTGGAATCGGGCTGGTGGGCTTCTGTGCAGGAATTGGGGCGAGGGGGGGTGGGGGGGTGGGTGGTGTGTGGCTGCTGGGGGCGGGGCTTCTCTCTAGAACATCATGGGGGTCTTCAGGAACGGCCGAGACTCTGAAGAAAACACAAAATTCACATTGTTTAACAGTTTATCCACAGAGGGGTGTCGTTTCAACTGGAAGCTGTGCAGGCTGCAGAACAGATGCAGTTAGCTGAATGTGCCTGTGCATTTCTGGCTAATTTTAAGCTTTATGGCTCGTTATGGCACTGCTGATGAATTCGGACTCATTTAACTGGATTGGTAACGGCGAAATTATTCCGAGGTGAATGAACTACCAGAGCCTCATTGCTAGAAGTGATATTTAAAACAAAAGTCCAAATTTCTGACTTTTTTGCCATTTATATGTCTTAAATGTTAGTGATAACAATCTTCTCTGGTCCTCTACTAAACAAATGACCTAGAAACTAAACTATGATGAACTTTAGCATGTTTTCTTCAGGCACCCAAAAAAAAAAACAAAGTTCCTACATAATTTTCTACTAGATACATGTACATGCTTTTTAAGCTCAGTAAGGCCTCTTTTTTAGCTGTATTGCGTGTTAAGACTTGTGCAGGTATAGGATTTAGAGATGCGAAATCGAGCCAAATCCTCTACTATGACTGACTATGACTGGACCTGAAGAAGCAGTTGAAGGATTTTCATTGATTTTATCCATTGCAGGTACGTTTTACGAAGTTATGTCGTTCAGTTATTGAATTAAATAGTTTTCGGTCCTAGTTTGTGTTATCAAAACTAATTTGTGAACAACTTCCAAGAATCGTGTTCCCATCACTTTTTCTGGGAGTTGATCAGCACTGAAGATTCCTCTAAAAAAAAAAGTAGGATTCATTACAGGTCTAATAAGTTCACGTGTGCAGGAACCTGATTCTCCCATCATGGTTATTAAACAGGATGTATTGCTGTTTTTTTTAAACGAACAGTGTTGCATCTTGTTCTCCCTGTAAGCCGCTTCCGCTTCTGATAGAAACCTCGTACGCACAGTTTTGCCAGAGTTGACTTTCCCTCCTCGGTGCTTCTCTCATTTCACCTCCGTCGTTCTCCTTCCTCTCCCTGTTGTGCTGTTTCTGCACCCACCCACTCAGGAGCATTTTTACACACACACGCACAAAAAAAAACTATAAAAAAAACACAGCAAACTTACATGCAACAGAATACACACACACACACACACACCTTCCTCTCCCCGCGGTGTCATTGTTTTCTGCGAACGTTGCAAAGTGTTTACATTTCTGCATAACAGCAACCATAAAGCTGCCCTCCCGCCTCTCTCCATCCAGCCCATCCCGTTCTCCTGCCCTCTACTACTTTTTCTACTTATCCTCTCCTCCTTTTTTATCTCCTCACCTCTGGTCTTGGTTTTTAGATATGAAACGTGTTTGAATAAAAAAAAGAAACTAATAAAAAAAACTTAAATTTTCTCTTTCATCTCGCGCTCGCCCCTCGTTTCCTCCTTCGTATTCGCTGCCTTGCCTCCTTTTCATCCCTCTTATCTCCTGCTCTTCCCTATTTTTATCACTCCACAATCCGCTCCAACCCCTCCTCTCCTCCTCTTTCATCCCTCTGTTCTGCATGCATCCCCTCCTCCTCCTCAATTCCCTTCTGCTCCTTCCTGTCCTCTATCTGTTATTCTCATATTATTTTTACACTGTTCCATTCTTCTCTCTGTCCTCTCCTGTCCTCTTTCCTCCCCCCCCACCACCCCTCCTCTCTCCCTCTCTCTGTGTTTATAAAACTGTCCGGTAACTTAAAAAGGGTGGCAGCATTTCCCTCATCATGACTGCCCTTAAAATGTACAATGATGATGATGATGGTGTAAAAATTCAGTCGAAAATCGGACTTCTCATTTTCAAAGTTTCAGACTTTTTTCTTCCGTGTGGGAACGGGCAACCCGAAGTTGTTCTATTTTCACCTGTTGTTGTCTAAGGAAACTATTTTTCAAGACATAGCTGCTTGTCTCTGCTCGTCCCTTTAGTGGACAGTGAAAGGTATACCCCACCTCTCACCTGATGAAAAGTAAATCAGATGTGAGGAATAAATGACATAAAGATTGAGTCGATATGTTTTAGGGCTGCATCTCTAAACCCCAGAGAGAAACAAACATGACTGTTTGAGTCATTTGTGTTATTTAGAACACTGCTTTGGACTTTCAGCATGCAGTTCACTCTCCTAAGAAATAGAAAACTTCCCAAATGTCACATTTTAACCATTTGAATTGGACATTTTAATTAATCTTTTTGGTCACTTTGTTTCTCTTCTTTCTTTTTCTTAAAGTTGGATCTTTCCTGCAGCGAACGGAATCAGAATCAGCAAATTAAGGACAAATGTGTTTTGTCTTAAGATTGGCCCACATTTTCTTTCTTTTCGTACTATTGTCTACTCCTCCTTTTTCTCTTTTTCTTACCGCTGTGACCTGGCAACCCCCTTTCCTTCCCCCCCTCACCTCCATTTGTCACTGTGAGCTCCACCTCCAGCTGTGTGTTTGCTGCCCCGGTTAAAAAATGATGCTGACCTGCCTTGTTAAAAGTCTATCAGCTGGTTAGAGAAAATGTCACCAGGTCTTGGAACAAGGTCACATTTTTCAGTCCTGTCCCAGGGAATCTGCACACTCCTCCTTTGGCTGTTCCATCCCTCCTTCCCTTGCCCTCCTTTCTTTACTTCTCCCCTCTCTTTTATTAAGATTTACTGAAAATGTTTGTCTTCAGCTTAAGTCCTGTCCCCTCTAGTCTAACTTTCGTTACCTTCTCAATTATATCAGCCTTTTTTATCCCTATGTGTACAATCATTTGTTTCCTTTTTCCTGTTTATTTTATTTAATTGCATTATTCACCTCTGAACTTTCTTCTTCAATATTTTTACAAGTCTCTTTTCCCTTGCCTTTCCTTGTCTCTTCCTTTACCTGTTCTCCTTTAAACGTACCGCTTCTTCCTTCCCAAATCTTCCCGTCAGTGACCTGCAGTTCATCTACTTCTTGTTTTCTTACCTCAATTTTCTTTGAATACTTTTACATGACCTGTGAGACTATTTTGCCTTCAATCGCTTATTCCTTCACTTTTCTCTTTCAAAGACAACACTCGTTCTAGCTGATCTTTTTTTCTATTCCCTTCTTTATCCTCCTCTTTTTGATTGTAATGCGATGTCTTTCTTTGTATTCAGCAGTTTTCTCCTCACTCGTTAATTAAGAGTGTGGAAGGTGAGAGAGGCAGGGGAGAGGTGTGTGTGCACGTAAACCACCATAGGTGCAAAATGCTTTTATGGCAGCAGAGATGAGTGTGTGTTTGTCTGGGTGTGTGTGCGAGCAGAGCAGCAAAGGGGTCCTACTGGGCCAATCAACATTAATGAAATCAGGTGTGTGTGTGTGCGTGTGTGTGTGTATTTGTCGAAGTGCTTGGCTTGCAGAAGAGAGGGGATCTAAAAGGGGTCTAAAGAGGAGTGAGAGCTAATTAGAGTTCCCTGTCTCACAAGTGTGTAGATCAAACACACACTAAAATGCACGACTACAGGTACAGGGCGCGCGCATACACACACACATTTAGAATGTGTGTGCCTGTAGATATTCATTTATACTCTCACAGAGTTTCAAGTGAAGGTTTTCAATGTCAGGGAGGAGTGAGCACAGCTGGTGGAAAGACGATGACACATGCATACTAACACACACACCTCAGTACTGTACTAGTGAGGACCTCGTTGGCATAACACATTTCATCACCCTAAAGGTAAACCTACCTGATTTGTTCTGAACTTTTTTTACACTAAAACATTTCAATGGTCAAACGTTCAAAAAGTTTCTCTCTGTCCTTTTTAAAGCATGTTTGTGTTTAAGTAAGCTCCATTATCATTTATGAAGTGGAAAAATCAGGCTTTTTTGCTGATTTGGCTCAAAGAAGCTCTAAGATGGAGTAAAGAGTGATGTTTAGTGAACATACATGATCAGCGTATCTTGGAATGAACACATTTTTATATATTTATTCTTAAAGAAAGAAAAGAAGAAAATATTTTAATAAGAGTGAAAATATCAAATATGATGTTTTTGAGGCCCTTCTGTTTCAGGCCCATCTTAAATTGCATTTCTGCTTTATTCCTCATCATTTTTTACTCAATTCTCCTTAAAAAAAGGTTGCATAAACAACTTGTTTTTGAGTGGTACGTAGTCCAACTGGCATTTGAAGTAGCACAACATCTGGGTGCATCTGCAGTGATAAAGAACTGCATAAACATGCAGTAAAAAGGTCCACTTCATTTAAGTCAGGCGCCGGCTGACTCGAACAAAGTATCTGCCAGTGCTTTAGCTAAGGCTCTCAACTCTTTCAGGTCTAAATGTATTAAGTTGAAGTTTATTTGATCTAAATGTACCTTAAGAACTGTGTGAATGAACTTCATTGTGTTTAATTCCAAATGTATTTTGTACTTCTAATTACACTCGTAATTCTTACAATAATAACAAAACTAGGCAGAGTTTTTTAGGATATCTAAATTTGTCCAGCCGATTAAAAACTAGCTCTCACATCAGGGAAAGTGTCAGCCTGCTATTTATCACGACGTCTCTGGGGGAAAATGTCACCACTGTTGATGAAACACAATTAATCACGCTGTATAGAATTAGAAGTTTCTTCCTCTCAGACAAACGTAGATGGTACACACATAAGTTCAATGAAAAATGCACACACGCACACTTAGCTTGTGGGTCTGTTAAGGTGTACATCAAAGGGAGGCCACTCTGTCTGCTTAATGTCTCCACTAATCGAGACTGGGCCCCAACACACACATGTGCCCGCCATGTGTTTGTTGGAAAAAGTCAGTCTTTGAACACATTTGTGTAAAGCATCCTATCGGTTAATATGTGACATGTGTGTTGTGTGGTTGGTGGTGATGGCGGGCGGGGGGGGGGAGTTGTTGTTTGAGTGTATCGCATGTGTGTGTGTGTGTGTGTGTGTGTGTGTTTTTATGTACCTTGCACAGCACCATTGTCTTGCTGGTTTCCATTAAGCTCAGGTTTGTCCTCAGCTATTGCAGCGTCTGGCAGGAAAGACACAAAGACAAGACAGAGTCTCAGTGGGTCGGCCAATAAAAAAACAAACAGCACCTTGTTACTGTTTATGGGTCAAAACAAGCTGGATCCACCTCGGAAAAAAAAAGAATAAAGAGCCACAAACAAAACAGTGTGTCCAGTGTTACCTGCAACAAAAAAAAATGCTTATGAAACATCATTGAGAAAATGCCTGTCTGGTATTTGTTATTTGGAACAAAAGCATTGAGACTGTGCAGGAATTCTCAGCCGCTAACAAACAACTTCACATCTGCCTGTTTAGTCAAACAAGAGTTAACATTTTTTTAGTCTTATGGTGGGGAAAGTAGGGCGCATTTTTAAATATGTTCTTTTATCATTTTTCTCTCTCTTTGTCGTTTGTACTGTACTTATCCAGCAGATGAGTGATTTGTTTTCCACAGTTATTATTGGCTGAGGACTAAATGAAACCAGTCTAATTCCAGATTTTCACCTTGTGGTGCACGAGTTTTCAGTTTCAAAAAGTTCAAGTTATCTCAAAAAGGTTATTTTCATGGGTCAAAGGTAAAATTATTTAAATTTATGGAGAGATTCTAATAATGATCCCTTTGGCTTGATCTTAGATAAAATGTTTTGAGACCTTGTTTTTCCAGATTAAGCCATTGAGCAATTACTCTTGTGAGAGCTTATTTGACACTCATTTTCTTGAAAAGGCAAGATCTCAAAGTGATTTAGGTGCTAACTGTGCCACTAATAAGTTCACACAGGCTTTGTTTAAAAAAAAAATCCAAAATAGGGAAACGGAAATATTGCATTGAAATATCTCTATATTGTAATCTACCAACCTGAGTTTGCACATGGTGACAGTGGATGGAAAAAATTCCCTCTAACAGAGAGACAGGAATTTGGCAGTGGCCACCAGCCTCCATTGGCTGGGACTGAGAGGACAGGAAAGATGGAGCACGATCCTGATCAGCTGATGAGGACAACCTCATCATTACAGCCTCTGTGGCTAATTTGAAGCCATGCATTGCTACAATGACTCTGATATGACACAACTGAGTCATACTGAGGCTGTTACTGTGCACATGTTGGTAGCTTTTCCAGCATAAAGTTGTTTTAAAAAATGACTAAATTACATACATGTCTTGCTATGTGGAGATTTGATTTTGGCAACAAACTCAAAAAGATCGATGACTAAAATATTAGCTAACAGAGCCTGTCATGTAGCAAACGTAAAACGAATAGAGCACAAAAAACTTTATCGACAGATCAACATTAAAAGAAAAGCCGTGACACACCCACAGCTCGGCCGATCCAAAATGTGAGGGAGCACGCACAATGCCGCCCCAATATTAACAGCGTAAACTGTGCATGTTGTAGTTTTCTGCCTTAATGCCACACAGGCACATTAACTGCACATTTACTGCTGCTGGTGATTACTCTGAATTTTATGGAAGGAAGACAGAAAAACAGAGGCAGCTTGTAACTCAGTTTTAAGAGCTGCTTCAGTCAACAACAGCTCGTATACAACACACATTAGTCTGGGTGCACACGAGGTTGAAAGAAGATGCAACTGACAGCGTGTTGCGATGAGTGAGGGACGTTACCGGCACAATTATAAAAATCACCGTAGACTGAGGGAAAGCGATAATACTGGAAATGAATAAGTAATAGAAAAAAGAAGCAGAGCATCCCGGCGTACCGTTGTCGATGGTGTTGTTGGCATTGTGCAGCGGCTCTGGAGAGGGGGAGGATGAGGACGAGTGTTTCAGAGCATCCTCCACTCTCTCCCTTCTCTTCGACTCAAACTCCAGCGCCTCCTGCAGCTTCCTTTTCGCCTTCTTTTCCTTCTTCAGTCGCTTTTGAATGGAGGCTACATGCAGAAGATGAGAAACCAGTTAAGAGTCTGTTCAGTCAACCTGCCCAAACCCTTCAAAAAGCCTTTATTGATACAGTATCATCCACCTGAAAGTACATTTCTACCCCCCCTCTCCTTTTTTTCTTGTTACCTCTGCTCTGTAGCTCAGAGTTGAGCTGTCGTTCCAGACTTTCTCGCATCTCTCTTTCCCTGTAGAGCTCCATCTTAAGCTCCCTCTTCTCCGCTTGGATCTGTTTGTCCTGTGCTCGGGCATTCTCCACAGCCACCTTCAACAGGCCCTGAATGCACGGGATTTCGGCACAGAAACAAGAGTTTAAAACACACAGTACCTTTTTTGAAAATATTCACTAGGCATTGATAACATGTTGGTGTAGATTCTCAGTCATCCTACGAATGAAAAAGAAAGCCTTGAAGAAGAAGAAGCCCGGTTGCCTTTACTCCTGGATGTGCATTGATACGGCTCATCATTTTGTCAGTGTTGAAAAGAAAAGAAACATCTGAACTTGGCTAGTATTGCTTTGGCCTTTTGTAGGGACTACCTCACAGCTTGCTGGTGCCCACAGCACCAGTTGCTGTTTCAATCAGGTGTCAATACGAAAATACGAATATGCTCATTAGGAATAGAATCTACGGTACATTCACTTTGCAGAAACAGACTTTTAAAACCCAGTCATACCTGTATGTTGGTGAGCAGTGTCTCCACTGACGACAGCCCGTCAGCGAATAGGAATGGAGCAGGAAATCCATGCGGCAGGGTTTGACCCAGTGTAGACTCTTCTGTCAGGGGCATATAAAACAGGATGTATGCTTAATTTCTTTGAGTGATCTAATTCAAAAAATATTTCAAATACTTTTTTTTTAATCTAAATTTGACACGAGATATGCTTTATAAGGACTTTTCCACAAAAAAAGACAGTTTAGTTCAAAACCCCTTTTTTTGGCTGCATCATCATTATCGTCAACGTTGGAGTTGATGACATTTATTTATCAGTTCCCACCCACATTACAGTGTGTTTCCGATTTAGATGTTTAGATCTCTTTTTTCACTTTTTAAAATAGCTGTGATGTTTTTCTATTTTTCACTGTATGTTTCACTATGGAATTGGATTAAAAGCAGTCTAATTAAAAAGTTCAGTGTTTACAAAAGTCAGTGTATCTGATTGCATTGCTTAAATAAACTTTTTTGCTCTTTTGCCGGGGGTTAACAGCTTGTAGCTGTAGAAACATGGAGCAGATTAGCTAGAAGCTTAGTTTTCCATCAAATGTGGAGGCAGGGTGGTAATGCTCAGACCTTATGTGTGTATTTCACATCAAAACTCTTCAAAACTTCTGTGCTCTATTTTCAAATTGAAAAAAACATATTTTCTAAGCAGTCTGACAGTCATTTTCTGCCTAAAAAAACATTAAAAGTTATGGAAATAGAACGATTTTCATGGACGGTAGCTATCAAGAGTGAACTTTATGAAATGGTAGTGTTTACCAAGTTGGAAAAGGCAGCAAAGCAGCATTAGAGAAATCAGTTGCCCAAAACACACTCACACACAGTGTACGGGGGTCGTTAGTATTCAGACAGTCATGTGGGGTACTAATTGACAAGGATTAAAGACATCCTTGATTTCTGTGTGTGTTCATTGTGAGTGCGTCACAGTGTCTGCTCAGCCCTTAATGCCTAACACACCAACAACTGGGTTAACTCTGCTGTGAAATTAACGCTGATTAAGATGCACCCTAATACACTCACACAAACACACACTCCATCCCCTATCTGCCACTTCATCCATACATCCCTCGACTCCACCTTTCTGCTCTCTCATATCATTTTTCATCACTTTTTTGTCTCCCTTCCCCTATTTTCTTTCTCACATCTTCATCTTTCTGCACTTTTTTTCGCTGTCATTAATTTTCATTTTCCTGTTCTCCGTAAAGTCTTTTTCTTTTTAAATCTTATTTCCTTGCTTTCATTCTTTGGATTTTTACCCAATAGAATCATCTTCCCCCTCACAAGGATTTTTTCCTTATTTGTTTGGCTTTGGAAACATGAACCTAAAGGTTTATTAATACCTGATAATTATTTGTATGTTTATGCTTTAAAAAAACCCATCCCTGATATCAAACTGATGCAATTGTTGAGCTTTTAAGTCTAATTTCCATGCCCTAATATCCTTCTCCTCATGTGTAACAAACTTAATAGCTGCTTTCTTGTTTGGCCACTAAAAAAAGAGCAGTAAATAAAAACAGGTGAAAAGAAGAGGAAGTCAAGGGTCAAAACGTGAATGAATATATAGAGACGTCAAAACAAAGCCGGGTGATGTCCAGACTGTTTTGTTTACATGAGTTCTTTTTCAAAAGAGGCATAAAGTCCTGGACAAGCCCTGTGGATGGCTGTGGTCAGAGCAACCCTGCGAGCATCTGCTCTCCTTTTCCCCATCGCGACTCCGTCTCTCCGACAGCTTACACTAGCTCTTCCTCTCCTAACACACAGGGTATCAATACACGATGACCGAAGAGAGACCTTATGTGTAAACATGGCACCTCGACAAGGAAAACCTCAAAGGGATGGATGCTGCAAGCATGGACGTCGTGTCACTCACACCCCCAAAAAAAAAAAAATGAAGTTGGTGTAGCAACTCTATATGTAACCAAATCTGGGTAGATTCCATCACTTTGAGAAAACACGCCGGGTGAGGTCATTTCTGATTGCAGCTTTAGTTCATTATGTCGTTCTGCTGCCGTAATCGCTGCAATACACCGTCCAGATGGAGGGAGGCCGCCAAGAGCTTTTTCTGCTGTCCCCCCGAGATGCTGTGTATGTCTGTTAGTGTTACTGCAAACAGCGACGCTCCCTGACTAAACACATTTGAGCAAAGTAAAAACATCACCACCTAACCGCACCTACCTCTGGTTCTGACAGTTCGAGGGGGAGCTATCTCTTTCACACTTTTCTTTCAGTAGGTAAGCTTTAACCATCGGATATCCCAAACTACAAGAAAGATGCTGACTGCTCATATGTACCACACGCAATTTGCCTCTAAAAAGGAAAAAAAAAAAGGAAACGATTTTAGTGGGGGCCGTAAGCCGTCGATGCAGAGACCCTCATTATCATTTTGGCTGGCTACAGTAGGGACAAGCGGAGTCTCAGTCCTAAGGGGCTCTCCCAGTCTGAAAACACATCATCACTTCTGTGGAGAGGTCACACGGCCGAAAGCCACCACATCCACCCCAGATACCGCTTCAGGTAGGCGGTCTTTGGCACGAGCGTCTCCCCTTTTCTTCCCTCCTGCCCTTATTGATCTTTAAGGGAGTGCTCTCCCTGCTGAGGTCTGCAGAAGAGCTCCGGGAGCATGGACAGAGGAGGAAAGGTGGAGCGAGAGTGAGAAATTAAATGAACAGAATGTGTTAGAAGATGGAAAATGCAAAAGGAGGGGGGGGGGGGGGGGCTGGTGGAGGCAAGAGAAACCCTGCATGCTTTTAGTGCCTGACCTCTTGACCCCTTTTATCCATGCCTCCTTCACTTATCCCTCCTTTCTTCCCTTCTTCCCACTAAGTCTTTCCATCTTCTATCAATCTCACACTCTCTCCTTCGCCTGATTGATGGCTCCGACAGGTGATCAATGGGAGGGGAAAGCATCCTGATGCTTCTATTTGTCTGTTTGTACATTTGTCTGTCTAAATGAAGAGTGTGTGTGTGCTATAGATGAGGACAGCCCTTTAAGTGAGGACAATTTGTCATTTGTCAAAAGAAAAAGGTTGAGGGTTTAGATTAAGGTGGATAATGCAACATCCCCTCATGTATAAATGTGTGTGTGTGGGTGTGTGTGGAGGGGGGGGTTCCAACCTTTGTCCTTTGTTATTTTCTTTATGGGCGCAGCAGAGTTGGTCAGTGCAACATCAGCATCAGCTGACACCAGTCCTGTTGAAAGAACACACTGGTTTTAGGAGTGTGTGTGTTTGTGTAGCTTGTGATAGCAGTCAGCATGTGTGTGTCTGTCAGTGCGCTGGATGTTTCTTTCATTTGTCATCTCCCCCTTTAAATATGGCAAGCATCATTAAAAAAAAGAAGGGGAAAAAAATTGCGAAACCTGATTGAAAAAAGAGAAAATCTTCTGCTTTTACGAGGCACCGAATTGCTGCGCTGCTCAAAGACTAATTATCACGACACAGACGCGGCGAAAGGTCAAGAGCGTAGAAAGCAGAGACACTTCAAGGTTGGATATTTCAGTTTCCAAGAATATACGAGGAAAATAGGAGCAACAGTGGTGCCTTGAAAAACAGCCCCGTCTTTAGCCGCTGTTTGTCCCTTTCAGGCTGCTGTAGAGACGTGGTCTGGACTATGTTTGAGGTGTGTGATGGTGTCTGTGTGTACCCAGTCGTTCAGGTGAGCTGGAGGCAGAGCTGCTGGGCTGCGACTGCAGAGGAGTGTTGGTTTCATCCACAGACGGAGACAGAGAGGGACTGTCACACACTCTCTCCTGAGGACCAAGAAAAGAAAAGATTGTGTTGGATTAAAAGAACTCCGACATATGGAGAGAAGCAAATTTTCCCCCTTTGGTTCTATTCATGGCTTTTCAAAAAGCCAAAAATCTTTATATTCCTTTAATGCCCGAACCGAGCAAGTTGATGAAGTCTCGAGGCCTTTGCACATCAAGTCTGAATACGCCATCTGTTGCTGTCGCACGCTCACGAGGTAAAATCGATGTCACGTTAGTCAGTTTTACAGACGGTTTCCAAAACGTTAGTTTTCCAAGACAAATCAGAACTATCTTAGAAGCAAGCATCTGTTGGAATGTACACAAACAGGGCATCTTCTGTTCTTTTTTCTAATGTACATCTGGTTAGGAAATTCTGATACACACTCAAAATCCATTCCTCAAACCCGGACTGGATTGATCTAGTATGGATTTTTGCCAGTTATGGATTATTTCATTATGTTCACAGTAAATGTTATGATGCTGACATGAGTATTAAATAAAGTTCTGAAGATGTACATGAGTAAACTGAAAACAACACTAAAAGAAAATGGTTTTTTTTTACAAACTGTAAGCTGTAAGCTGTTTTTTTCCAATAATTACAACCCCCCCAAAAATTTCTTTTTAGAATAATACTTTACCTGTAGTTTAAAGCTGTCTCACTGAAGGAGCAACTTTACCACCCATTTTAATGTCTCATCAGAGTTCCCGGAAACTTTGGTCACAGCTATCAAAACAACTCTAAAGCACCTATGAAATGAGGGCTCTTCACCGGGCAGATCCTGGTGGAACGAGCCCGTTTGTGTTTGAGCCTCACCTTGATGACAGGCGCGCGGTGGACGTGAGTGTGTATCTGCTGGGCTGCAGCCGCCATGTTGGCAATGGTGCTGAGGTGGTTCATCTGGGACATCGCCATGGCAACAGACGCAGGCGGCAGCCCCATGGGCAGCAGAGGGTGGGGCATCATCATGAAAGGCAGGTCCAATCCTGGGAAACCAAAGAGAGGAAAAGTAACTCGAATGGGCAGAGAGATTCCATGTTTTTTGTTTTGAAACTGGAAATATTTAAGTGACCTCAGACGGAGCGCAAAACTCCTCTTAAACTCCTGACACACAAATCTGGAATAAAAAAAATCCGACACATGACCTTTTAGAGCTGCTAGAGAAGCGGACAGCATTCTGGGTGTCAGCACCATTGGATTCTGATTCCCTGCTGTTATCAATTTAGCCATGAGTACAATTACATTTGGGAGATGACGCTTTTAAATGCTCCTGACAGATCTCTGGCTTTCAGCGCAGCTGCTGATACACTCGTTCGTTCCGCAGGAAGTCCTCTGACTGGACGCTGCCGCAGACGTTAAGACTTAAAAAACTGACCAAGAGAATGAGCAGCACTGTATGAGCAGTCGGATTTTACAATGTCAGATCCTCCGTTCTGAGGGTTAGAAATGATCATTTAGCTTTGTGTTCTTCTTCAAATAAAACACGTAGCACCTTAATACACAGCTTAGCTTGTGTACTTTATCTCATGTCATCATCTTTTCTTATGGATCCATAAAAGGAAATCTACCATCTTCAATCCCTCTTCTCACCTCCTTCAGCTGGTTCCTGTCACTGACCTGTATTTTTTTGGTCTGCTCTGTGTTCCCCTCATGTTGCACCTTACTTCATGCCTTTCCCCCCTCTCCTTGAGAGGATGTTCCATTTCTTTTGTCCCGTTTTCCCCCAAAAATGAACCCGCTAAAAGAGTAACCTCTGACCTTGGTGCCCTTCTCACCCCTAGACGGGCCCCATTTTAAGAGTTGAGCCCCCCCCCCCCCGGGTGGACACACAAACGCACGCTCACACGCCGAGGCGCTTTCACTCCAATGAAACAATAACACTGATTGCTGTTGTCGTGACGACTGAAGTGATAGAATAATCAATGTGAGTGTTTGTCGCTTCCTGCTGCCCAGTGTGAGCGTGCAAATACATTACTTCTGCAGTAAGAAAAAGAGCGAGTATCTGTTTGTTTGTGTGTCCATATGTGTGCGACTGTGTGCGGTGTTGATGAATTGAGTCATTTAGTAGAGTGTGTGCTGATTAATCCAGGCAGAGTGTTAATACAGGAGATGGGAACAGATTAAATGGCGTACATTAACAAATATTGGTAACCTTTAAACACACAGCATGAAGGTGTTTGTGTGTGTGTGTGTGTGTGTGTGTGTGTCCTTCCTTTTTTCCATGAAGACCAACTAAGTGTGTCATCGGTTTGGATTTATGCATCTGTCTGTAAATGGCGGTGTGCTCTCACTGTTGGCCAGTAGCTGCTGCTGCTGCTGGAGTTGCTGTTGATTGACAGCTCCTAAGGTGGCCCCCCTTCCAGGACCCCCAGCTGCACCCCCCCCTCCTCCGGCTCCTCCTCCCACGGTCGGAACTCCTCCACCACCTCCCGCTCCTCCGCTGTGGGCGCCAGCAGGGGGGCTGGTCAGGCGCTCCTTATCCCAGGAACACTCACTCCCTCCTGGGCAGAGATGCAGACATTTAGATTCTATTAGTGACAAAGCCTAAATGTGTGACCTGTCAATATCCATCCAACCAAATGATACACTTAAAAATTCAAAACCTGAGTTTGACCTTTTCTTTTAGATGAAAAAAAAACAACAGCTCTTTGATTTCAGAGGAATATAAAGATGGTTTCTTCATCCCCTCACTGGAACAACAGCTACTTCTAAATATACGTTTAATGTTTTTACAAAAAAGTTTGACCGTGTATCTACACTTCTGATGGAACATGGAGATATTTAAAATAGAATTCTAAACACATTGTTTACAGTGGGAAAACAACATCAACATTTAAAGAGATGTTAATGACTGTAACTAATTGTGTCAAATCAAACCGCCTCATCTAAATATTTTTTTTATTGAAAATTAAAAAATAAATTTCTTTAATTTGTTAGAGTTCCACTGAATGGCTTGCACACAATGGAATATTTATGACAAAAAGTTTTGACAGTTTTTGGATTGTTTTGACAGAATTCTGTCAAGCTTCTCTTGACTGTCATCATTTCAAAAGCAGGTTGGGGAATTCAGCTGTTTTCAGTTTGTAAAAAACAGTTTAATATCTTAAAAAAGTTTGTTTTCTGAACAAGCACTCAGTTTTTTTAAAACAATGATTTCCTCCCCCATTGCTTTCCTGTGTTTTTTTAAATTTCTCTTACAATTTTTCTAAATAGAAAAGAAAAGATGAAAGAACTTGAAAATGCTTTAAAATATTGTTTATGATCATTTCTGTTTATGTTAGATTCATTTGTAATTCATTTTTCTGTTTTTTTGTGGGACACTTGTCACTGTATCCAAACCAACCTGATGGTCATGACGCTTCTAAAACATGTCTGGTGTTTGTAAAATGTATTTAATGGCTTTCTCTCTTCACACCTTCACTTCTGCCTCTCTCTCTTTGCTCCCATGTTCCCTCCTCATCCATCTTCATCTCCCTCCATTAGTTTGAATTAGCAACCGTCTCTCTCTATTATTGCCTACTGAATTCCCTGTGCTCAGTGTGTGTCAGTGTGTGTGTGGATGACAGCTGGGCCTCATCCCTTCTGCCATTTACACCGGGGAAGAAAAGAAGAATAAACAGATGGGCAGATGTTCTCTCTCTTTCTCCAGCTCTCCCTTAATTTTTTCCTTGGCCTTGTCCTTTTCTCTTTCCCCCTCTTCCCGGTCACTCCTTTAGCCTTTCCACATTTCCCTCCATGTCTTTTTTTGAAAATAAAATTCAGTTTTCACTCTTTACTCTCTTCTTTATACTTCTTTACTTATAATTTATACTTCCTAAAATTGGATCGGTAGTCAGTTAAACTTTAAAGTCTTCTTCATCCAAAACTCAGTTTTGATCAAAGTATTATGAGTAAATTGAATTAACAGTGTTTAAAGAAAAAAGAGCATGAAAAAATTGTTCCATTTCATAAACAGCCACTTCAGTATTGTAAAACTAAATGTTTCGGTCATCCCTCCATCTTCAATCCTGTTCAAACATCTGTCTTTGTTTATGTCACCCAATACAACTTCAGCATAACTCGAGTAACACAGGTACTGGCTCTGTTTCCAAGATTTACAGCTTGTATACCCACTTCACTCTTTTTTTATATTAAAACGAGCCTTTGAAAAATTGTCACAACATTTTCCCAAAGATGTTTTACAGAGAGTAAAATTGAGACCTTAAATTAGGGCCTCAAGTTTGTCCTTCATGTCAATCTGATTTTTGACTTATTCATTCTTAGTCAAATCTTTTAGAAAATAAATGCATTGTCGGCATTTACCCCTCCAGACCAAATATGGCTTCAAAATAGCCCGCAAGCTAATTTCAGCTCAAAAAGCAATAAGTACAGGAGTTTTTGTTGATGGTTTAAGACGATTCCATTCTTTTGTGATAAAATCATTGTGCCCAGTTCAGCATTCCATCAGAGTTAACAAAGAAAGAGAAACACTCGCTCCGGCAGTCCGGCTCTGACTGGCAAATTCTGGCAGATCACAGGTGGTCTGGCCCACGCTGTGGACTAAAAGGCCACCGGAATTGTTGAGAAAATTAAGGATTTCTGCGAGATCCACATTGCAACTTAAAACTCAATGAATAACAATGCCATAAATAAAACCTGCTGACACTCCAAAGAAATGGAGTAAGGGCAACTGGACTTCTCCCTTCTGGAAGACAGAGAATTTAAACCGACAACTGTTCATACTGTCCACAGGAAGCAGTCTGTGATAAAACAGAACTGCGACAGGAAATTAGTCCACACATGTGCCCACAGACACCAAAGTGATTTGATTCGATATTGTACCTCCACAAATGGAGTTGTGTAATTGCTTTATTTTGTTTAGTTTGTTTTCATGCAACTTTCCTCCAGGAAAATGGAAAAGCATGAGACTTTTACCAGAAATGTGGCACATTCCAGGTTAGAAGTTTTTAACTTTTGATGTGGACCTGGATCCGGAGCCAGGATTACTTATTCATCCTCGGTGGCAGCGTGCAGTCGCACACTGCTCCGGTTTTGGCACACTTTGGCCCGACAATTCACCAGCTGCAGTTCAGTAGTTAGAATTATCTTCCTCCGGCTCCTGCCAGAGTCTCTAATGTAGGCTAGCGAGTAGGAGAACATCCTGCCCCGTGCACGGTGTCACACCAGTTTCTGCACGATAACCAATCAAAGTCACGGGCCTCATTCTGGTTAACCGGTTAACAGAGAGTCTCTGTTTGTCTCATCCTGAGTTTTGTGTTAAACTCACAAAAGGTTAACATCTTATTACACTAATTGCAAATATAACAAATACAATATGCAAAATAATTAAACAAACCTAGCATTTCAATTACTAGTCTCTCTTTGATTGTGGAGCTTTTCTCTTTTTTCTAGGGTACTTGTGTAACATGCAGGGATACTCTGATGACATATCATTGCTGTAATGTTTTTTGAGTCAAGTTTCATGGTCAGACAGCTGTGTGTGTCATGCGTCCAGATGGCAGGAACAAATGAACGAGAGTTTGATCAGAGGATTCCAATAAAAACTGGAAGAAAAACACACAGTCATTTTCTCTTTAGCTCTCCTCTTTTTTACCTCATACCTCCTTTTAGTCATGACTTAATTGTTGTTTTTCCAACTCATCTTTTCTTAGCACTTCCTATTTACTTTTAAACTACGCAAATGTTTTTCAGCCTCTTTTTCCACCTCTCGTTGAAATAGTAAAGATGTGGTTTTCACTAACACTTTTCTCTGGTTCCATTACTCCTCTCATTCATCCATCCCTTAAACCGTCGTAAAACAGAAACACGTGACTGACACCATGAGCAGAGCAAGCGATCCACTTACACCCACCAAACATCTGAGCATCTTTTTCTCTCCCCCCCGATTTCCTCCGGCCCTAAATATCCCGTTCTCATATTTTCCCCCTCTGTCCACCCTTGCTTTATTTTCTTTTTCATTTCATACACTCGCTCTCATGCTCCATTGTCCGCCACAGTTTCCCAGGCCGGTGCGAGTGCCCCTCACAAAGAAAACAAGGTCGGACACTGAAAAGAAGGCTCTCCGAGAACGCACAAAACAAGGGGTGGAAAGAAAAAAGGAAAAAAAAAATCACTCTAAATGAAATAAAAGAAGGCAGAAGAACTGAAAAGATGAAGAATAACAGTGGGAGGGAATAAATAAAAAATGAGTTGGCTAAAGAATAAAACGAGAGAACAGAGGAAGAGTAACTCTATCAGCCCATTTGCCAGGTCAGCTGAAGAAAAGGAAGAGACTGATGAGGAGAAAATAAAACAGGAGAAACAGGCTGGAAACAGAGGCAAAGATTGCTTCCACCTTTCTACTCAGCTTTTTGTTTTTCTGTGTTTTTAATAATTCAGAGAAGCAAACACAGCAGAGATTGAGTGGACTGGGAAGTGTGAGTGTTCTATGGCAGACGTGAAAAAAAAAAAAAGGCTAGACGGGACACGATACTCAGATATCAATACAACAGTTTGGATTAGAAGATTTTGAAGCATTTTTCTTCAACTATAGCTTTAAATCATACTGTATAACATTAGACAAAAGTTCTTAAACTAAAGCTTTTAATTATACTTTAAGACATTAGACACAGGGTTTGAGAAGTGACAAATTCATTATGATTAACCTTTTGTAAAATACCCTTATATAGTGTTGGATGGGGGTTCCCAGTGTGTTATGCAAATTAACATTTCCTGCAAAAAAATAATTAATCCTGTGACTTTTGTACAGTAAAAATGTGAGAAAACTCTGAAACTTCTCGCACATGATTTATGCTCATTCACTAAGATTTGAAACATCAGAAGGATTATTATTATTTCTTTCACTTAAATCAATTGACTTTTCCTGACAATGGTTGCTCCCCCACCGGTGGGATTCCCGTACACTGACAGTAAGGGATCTGAATACTCCATAACCCACAGCCGTCATCATAAAATTCAGAGAATGTGGAGACATCTTTGTGCAGAGGCCAAGCAGCAGAAAATCAGTTTGGGGTGTCCTTAATCCTCAGGCAGCAGTGCATTAAATAAGCATGAGTCTGTCAAGGAAATCACGGCATGGGCTCAGAAACACTTCAAGAAATCTGAGCAAACCACTCACCATGCCATCCATGAATGCAGGTGAGAAGTAGCCACGTTTGAACATGATGAATAAATCTCATCGCCCTCACTTTAAGTACAGTAAATGCATTCTAATATGGATATTCTTTTTTGGGAAATCAATTAAAATAAGGATCACCACCCAACATCCTGATCACACGTGAAAGAGGTAAGAATGCTCACTTGACAGAATAAGAAACAGTAAAATGTCCTAAAAGCAGAATGAGCCACCATCCTGCTTTGTTCTTTTTTGCAGAAAGTCGAGGACACCACTGAAAAAATGGTCTCAGTTGTGGTCAGACAGATATGAGCCATTAGGGGTGTAGAGGCTCTAACACTTAAATATGTTTAATGGTTTCAGTTGGTTCATTTTCCCAAAGAGGTCTGAGCAGCCTTGTGTCTCAGATATTTCTGATATTTATCACTCAACAGCACAAGCCTTTTTATTTAGATCTTTTTTGCCTTTTTTTGGCGCAGCTCCTGCCCTCTCATTTATTGGCTCTTCTTATTTACAATGTCCTCTTATCTGTATGACTACCAGAGGAATTTCCCCGAGATGAAGAAACCCCAGAAAACCTGATGATTCTCGCAAGTTTTGTAGTTTTAAGGGGCTTAACTTTTTTTTTAGTTTTCTTTAGTTTTTTTGTTGCCCCTATCATTTCCTAATTTTCTGAAGTTGCTGATGGTGTTAGTTTTGCTCATTTTTGCTGATGTTAACATAACCTCAAAGTCCAAAGGCCTGATTGGAGCTGAGGTGGGTGTAGAGTTCATTACACAGAAAAAAAAAGCTAAACAAATCGGCTTAAAAAGTTCCACATGCCTCGAGGGTTTCTGTTGATTATTGCTAATGTCCACATGAAACTTCCAGAAACTGTCAAAACGTCCTGACTACAGCGAACAATAAATGAATACCTCTGTGTGCTGTGTCTGTGTGTGTTCCACCTGTGTTAGAGTGTAGGTCGTCGTTGTCAGACTCGTTGCCGTTCTGGAGACTCATCATCATCTTCATCTTCTGCAGCTTTTGGAGCTCGGCCATGGCTGCCGCCGTCAGGCCTGTCACAAAACGCACACAGACACACAACGGTCAGGATCCTCATGGTCATCATGGTCATCCACAGCAGCAGCACACTGACATCTAGATGGCTAAAACACCATTAGATCAAACATTCTCACAGCTACACAACAGTGTACAGCTCTGCACCGGCCCATGATCCTTTGCAGCGAGCTGTGACACACACGCTGGCGGTGGGACCCAGCTGTGGATGTAAAACTTTCTTTTAAGCCTCAGCGTTTTATTGAAATATTTCAGGGTGTGAGTACAGTTTCAAAGTCGCCTCTGTCCTGATGCATACGCACCATTTTGCATACAGGAAAAAAAAAAAAACTAAATATATCCCGAAAGAACGCGGCGCACACACACACAAACACACAAATCCACACAATCACACACACACTCTCTTTTGTGTGGACCAAGATCCCTGGCTCTGTGCAGTGACCTGGAACTGACTTCTATACACAACAACCAGCAGAGTGAGAGAGATGACCCTCTGTGTGTGCGCGCGCGTGTGTGTGTACGTGTGCATGTGTCTCGTTGTGCAAAGTGTGCGTGTTAGCTTTTGCATTGTGCTGAGTGTGTCTGTACAGTTTGCTTTCATGTATAAATGCATGCTTATCTGTGCATTCTTTCCCCTGTGTTTGTGTGTGTGAGTGTGTGTGTGTGTGTGTGTGTGTGTGTGTGTGTGTGTGTGTGTGAGTGTGCGCGTATAGGTCAGTTGGTTTTGCCCCGGTCACGCTTGATGGCCTCAGAGGAATGTCCATTACACGCTGTACAGTTGTCTGTAAGCTATAAAGAAAACAAGATAGAGAGAAGGGGAAGAGGGAGGGCTGGGGGAGGAGCTGCTTTGAAATTTAATTTAAAGCAGGATGGATGGATGAAGGAGGAGGAGAGGGGGGTGTGGAGGACACAGAGATGCATGCTAGTTGACCCAGGCAAAGTAGTTATTTCATTCTCATATTTCTCCTCCATTACCTTTAGACTAGAACTTTAAGTATATCTCAACGCATTTAATTAAAGAAGGGGATTACATAACACAACAGCTATCATATAATCCCAAAAATATAACACATTTTTATCTGAAGTTTCTACTTTTTCCTCATGAAAAGTCCATCATGTACGTGTGTTGACACTTTTAGTTTAATTCTGAATGTAGGGCTTTTGTGGGTCAAAGTTATTTTTTTCACCATAATTTAAGAGAACACAATCGGATTCACTTTAGCCCTGACATCAGACATATGGCAGATATAAAACAGTTTTATTCCCATACAACGGCAGAGTTTCATCTTTAATGTTTTTTAACTAAATGGATGAGAAAATCATTGGTCTGGGATCCACCCACACTTGTGTAAAACTATTTACAGAAGTCAAGAGCTTAATGTGAAAATGCTGGGTTGCTATCAGGACAGTTGACATCCGCTCTGATTTTTCACAACGCCAGTAAGTGACACTAACAGTGTTTACAATGTGGCAGTTTGTCATTCACATGTCGGCTGCTGCAAGGAATTGAAAGTTTCACCTGTAATTACTTTCATAGTGGATTTGTCAGCTTGTTTAAGCCAAACAGGCTGTGGTTCAAGCTTTGAGTGGATAGATTTTTCTTTTTTGATGAATTTTCCCTATGAATCAAACCTTCTTAGTTTTTAAAAACAAAAAATGTAAATTCAATTTGACTTTGGGTAACTGTGAGGGCTTTCTCCCCACTAAATTAATTAAGAAATGAGTCAGATTAAATCAAATATTTATCAAAGCCATGGTTTACTTAAATTTTGTCATTCTGTTTATTAACAATGCAAAATATAAATTCTAAAATCTGCTTTTGATACTTTTATTCTTATTATGTTGGATGATTCTATTAAGTTCTCAAGAGAATAAAGTCATATAAATAATGATTCCTGTAAAAATACATTTTCATGCTTCAAATTAAATGTATGGACACAGTATACCTTATTTATAAAAAAAATTCATCTGAACTCTGTAGATGTTTCTTTCTTTCTTTTTTTTTTCAAATCGAATCAAACTGCAGTGTCAACTGAAGGTGAGACGACAATAACAAGAGATCTTCAATCAGCCTAAAATATGTAACACAAATCCCATAAGAGACCAAGACCAAAAAGCAAGTGGTAGAAAGAAGAGAGTCTGTAGCAGGATGGCTGGACAACTGTCTGCTGTCTTGCTTAGAAACAAAAATGAGTCAAAGAAAGGTGATGGATGAAAAACACCCACAATTAAGAGTGGAGCGGGGGCTCAGCTTCTGTCTGTTTAGGATCATGCACTAATAATCTGCAGCTCACAAACCCAAATGACATTGCTTGGGTTTTGTGCTATCATTTCATAATCCTAGACAACACTTGAAATGATCTTAAGAAAGGTTAAGAGTCTGAAAATACCAGGAATAAAACAACATAAGAGCGGGATGGGGATGACTGACTTCCGTCCATGTGCCACTTCTCACCTCTCTCTAAGAAACAACTCTCTCCAGCTGTTTTAGCAGCTCTTTATCAAATATGTAGGGCTTTTATATCAATATTCACTGGAAGGCATCCACGGGCCTTGGTACCCAGAGCCACCGCCTAATGGCCTGAGGGTTATGTTTTGGTTTCCTCTCAGTTTCATACAAACTGTATACCCCACCCCCCTGCAATACAGGTGTTTAGCACACGCCATGACAAGAAACTCAGAGTGCGACAGACTGTTTGCTGGGAATGTTGCCATGTTTGACCCGCGGTTACAACAATCACAGGGCGCAAGTGAAGTGAGATGAGGTGGAAGACAGGTTGTCTCCTGCTTCTGTGGCAGCAGATGAGAGGTCTCCTTCACCTCCTGTGGAACAGCTACTGCATGACCGAGCCCGATATAATCCACTTACATGACATGCATCTACATTTCTGAGTCTCAAATGGCTCTCTGACACAGGCCTCCTCCATCCAAAATGAAATAAATAAATAAATAAAAATCAGCAGGACTGGTTGTAAAGTTAAAAGTGCCAACTGACAGTTTTATCACTGCTAAAAACACGTTGTCATGCATTCACAGTTCACCCTGTAAACACGGAAACCTGCGCCACTTTGTACATCAAAGCCAGCCCGATTAATGGTGCATTCAAGTACACCATGGCCAGAGTTGTTGTTTTCTTTCGTCTTTATATTTCCTCCCATTATTTCGGCAGGATAATAACCAAGATTTTTGGGTTAAATGGCTTGCCACATAAACTCAAATCTTTAAACATACTTGCTTGTGCAAAGTTTTTCTAAAATCATAAAAGACAGAAATGCTCAGAACAGTTAAAAGTTGAAAAAAACTAAACAAAGTGACGGTAACAAGGCAGAAATTCAGGCAGACATACAGGAAATGATTATGTTAGTACAGAGATACTATTCTTATCACAGACCTAATCTAAAGGTTTAGAGCTTAAACGGTGAACCAACTATATTTACCGTAGTCATACCAAAGACTCTAAATCTAACATCTGTAATCCTGTTTGTTGAGTGGAGATGTTCACATCGAATTTGTACTTAGGTTTAAGAATTAACATTTAAGTAAGAGGGACCATTCGGAAAATTAAATGGAAAATGGACTCCCTCTGTGGGGTCACAATGCTGTTCACACATCGATTGCTCAAATAAAGAACACCTTGACACACACTAACACACAAAGTTGCATGTAGACATGCATGAATCCTCACAGGCGTAGACACACACACACACACACACTTGGAGTGAGTCAGGATGCCCGCTTCGCCTCAGTGAAACCAGAAGTCGATCAATAGTGAGGGCAGAGCCACAATACTGTTCTCCATCATGAGTATCAAACACACACACACACACAGCACCGCTCTTTCCCTCTCGGATCAATGACTGTCCGCTGTGTCCACGGTTACCGTGCATCGACCCCCGTCGCTAATGGTGACCACGGAACCTTGGGAATTAGTGTGTGATTGATTGACAGAGTGCTTCAAAGACATACGCGCCATATAGAGCCGGTGTGTGTACACGTGTGTGCGTGCGCGCACAATATACATTTTCCGCGTGCCTGTGAGTGTGTGAGCCTCAGCATTCCCAAGTGGGTCGTCTGCACCTCATTTACCCATCTCATTTTCCCTTCCCGTGCATCATAATGCTTTCCGAAGGACAGACAGAGGAAAGGAGTACGAAGACTGAAAAAAAACAGTGAATCATCAGAGTAACATGATAATGTGAACTGCAAAATCAGGAGGTCATTACCAACAGTGCAAAAGCAGAGGTAAATTTGCCAAGACTGTCTGAAAATGAATTTAGTTTTGATGTAATAATCCATTTCATCTCTATCGTTTTAGTGTTCGTAATCAGTTCCTTGCCATGCCAGCAGTGAAGGAGCGGTCTGAAAATGGCTCAGAATGGCTCATTTGGTGTTGGTTTATCTAACCTGAACTGATGATGGTAATAGTCTCCGCTTCCCAAAACCACAACTTTGGGAAACACATCCTGTAGTCAGGAAAAAGATGCTCTTCTGTTTCAGAGGGGTCATAATATTGGTCAGCTTTGGACAAACAGAAAACTAAGAAAAACAAACCCAAAAAAGAAGAAAAAAAACAAATGATGGGTTTATAAGTGTCCAATTCATCCCCAAAATCTCTAAAGACAGTGAATGACCCCCATCTTCCAGGAAAAAATCAGATCAAGAAGAAAAACTGGATCTATCCTGATTGCAGAAACTTTTTTTTTCATAGAAAATGTTTATGAACAGTAGTATCAAACCTGTGTTGGAAATTGTTGTCCTAGAAAACTGCACAGCACACCCACTTTTTAAAATAACATATTCTATGAAAACGGGTTCATATCTCCCCAGGAACAAGAAAAAGAACTTTAATCCTCTCCTTCCTTAATTAAAACCAATTATCATCATTCTTCCTTTTGCGCTAGGTGGATGCCTTAAAAAAGAAAAAAAAACCTGAGTGATCCTTAAGGCTCTTCAGGCCCTCCCTTCATGAACTTGCGTGAAAACCCACCCCATTTGGCTACAGTGGTAAATATTTAATTGAGTGCACCTACATCTCTGAAGGAGTGCTTGAACGTGCTCTCGGAGTGACACTTTGAATAAAACAAACAGGGAAACAGAGAAATCGCTCTTTGTGTTCTGAATTTAGAAACACGCAGTCGAGTCTTTTTTTGTTTTGCTTTCTTTTCTTCCCGCGAGCACTCCGGAGTGCCAATTTACCAATGCAGTCGATTGCGCTTGTGCTGAGTCAAACGGATTTTAGCTCAGTGCTCGGGCACTTAGGTCGCCCATCTTTAGCTCGTACCAACTGTCCAAGACGCCCATTTGCAGCCATTTTGAGCTGGCCCTTTTGTGCTATTCTTTGTACTATTTATGCTGTCCTTGACTTTTAAGATGTTTCTGAATGTCTCAAAAGACTCAAGAAGTCTTGAGTCTTTTCATCCAATTTGATGAATATAAACTTTTTTAAAAATGGGCAACTCCAACGTTGTTCTCGATCCTGATTAAGAGGTTTCTTAGCAGTTTTTTTTATTTCTATGATCACACAAGTTACCTTATGGTTTAGTTTTAACATTGGAACCTGAATAATATACATATACTTTCAGAATGTAATAAGACAGTAATTAAGAAATCAATTTGCATTGCTTGCATTTGGACATCAAACATATTCTGTCTTTGTGGGGGAATCAGAAAAGTGTAAGGCAGTTAATAGCAGTAAAGATCTCAGGCCGCAAAAGCCTTCCAAAATACTGAAAAAGCTCTCACAAAGATTAAGTCGAACAATATACTCTAATCCGAGGCAGAGAAAACCGTGTCCTTTTGTCCTTTTTAATTTCCGCAGCAGAGCGGACTGGTCAGGAAATTTGTGCTGTTGCATTCAATGATCACTTATCTCCACTTAAACTAGGCATCGAACATAAATTGCCAAGGTGATCCAGCCAGGATCTTTCCTCTAAAGATCCAAAGTTGTACCTGACTCCATGTAAGTTAGCCTACCTCCCAGTGCAAGCCCCTGGTTAAAATGGGTTATTCGGATGACGAAAGTTGAGGGCTTGAGTGTTTGAGAGCAGGTGTGGTGTTCTTTCCTCTGGGAGGAGGCTACTCCTGTGGAGAGTGTGCTTGGTTTGCAGAGATAATTAGGTGGGAGCTCGAGCGCTGAAATAACATCCACATGAATGCCCGGAACCGAGGCTTGCTTAGCATAAAAGATGGCCAGTGTCATCCACTTCACAGTTTCACGTCGGGGCTAAATGGTGCGCGTTTCCCTCTTAAAAGGGGGATGTAATGCTTAAAAACGTATTCAAAGCAAAGAATATTCCCTCAGTAGCAAACTTAGCCAGTGGGGGGTGCTGGCCGCTAAATGTCACCAGTTTAGAGTTCGGATGGAGGAAGCAGAAAAACGTGATGCAGGAGGAGGAGAAAGATGAAAAAGACTTAATGCCACTTTAGTCCTCTTCAGCCTTCCTCCCTCCCTCCCCATCTCTGTCTGCTCTCCATGTCTGCAGGTGCACATGAGAGTCCTCGGATGAGTGTGTTCTCTTCAGCGCAAGATTGAAAGCACTTCATCTGTTACCCATACAGAGCGCGTTTCAGAGTGTGTGTGCATGCTCACGAGCCAGATGTGTTTATGTTTATCACTTCAAAATGGGAGTTTATGTAGCTTCGGTGTGTTTCCGAGGCCGCGTGTGTGTTTATATGAAGTGTGTGTGCGTGTATTAGAAGACAAGGCGAACCATTGAGCTGTTTTTGAAGTGAATTAACAAGTCAAATGAGTGCCGCAGAACCCTGCATAGGTTACCACACACACATAAACACACTCCCACGCTTATCATCACAGTGTCTTTGTTAAGGAAGATGAGGCCAATTAAACTGATCTCACTCTTTTGCTGTTGTTTCAGTCTCCTCATCCTCTTTACCCCTTCAGCTTTTGTCTTTTTTGGCCACCTCTCGCTGCTTTTTTCAGCTGGATTTCCACCGGTTTGATCCCCTCATCGCCTCTTCTTGTCCATCCTTTTGTTTTTTTTGTTGCATCTTCACTCCGTCTTTCCACCTCTGCTTCTCTTTTGCCAACGTTCTCCCACTTATCATTTTTCCCCTCCTGTGCCCTATCAAGCTTGTCGTCTTTTTCTCTTGTCGTGTCTCATGTCCTTGGCCATCTTCTCACTATTTCCTCCAAAAATCACTCACTCTGTGTGTTCTAACGGTGTGATAAATGCCCATCTGTGATTGGCCGATGACCCCCCATCGCTGTGGCGCCCGCGAGGTCGTAAACAACAGCTCGTCTCCCCCGGCAACGTGGCGTCTCCATGGACGCGGGGCCGCTAAGACGACCAACTCTGCGTGTGTGTGACTGAGGCGGATTGCGACATCCGACGACTGCCAAGTGTGTGTACGCGAGTGTGTGTTGTGTATGCCGCGTGTGTCTGTGTGTGTGTGTTTGTGTGTGAGCTAATGAGCGATCATAAGTGAGCAAATGTTTTCTCTGGGTTCCACTAATGTTCAACAAACACACACACACACACACATATCAGGTATGTGTGTGTGTCATTAGTATGCCACAGTGAGCTGTGTCCATATGTCACTGAACACAAGCATGTTTTATTTATCCTGGAGAAAAGGGAATGGAGAAGAAGGCCAACAGTCGCCGTCAAGGGAATGGAAGGAGGGAGGGATGGAGAGGAAAATAAACTGGCAAGATGAGAGGAAAAAGATTAGAGAGGTGAGAAAATGGAGGGGAGATGACAACCAGGAAGGTCTGGGTTCGAATGGGAGGAAGTTTGGAGAGGTTTACTAAAAAGGAGAGGAAGACGAGAAGGACAGAAGTGGGGAAGAGCAGTGTTGAGGGAGTAGAGAAGGATGAGATGAAAAGAGGTGGAGGGAGAGAAGTTGGAATTGAACGTGCAAAAAAAAGGGAAGTTGAGACGAACAGAAGGAGGAGAGAACGACGCAGTCAACGAAGCAGCGGGATAAGAAAAAAGGTAGATGAGGAGGAAAAGGAGCAGAGAAAAGAGGAGAAGGGAGAAAGCCTGAGAGAATTGTGAAGAAGGAAAAAAACAGGAAAAACAGATGCTGAGGAAGAGATGGATGCAAGAAAAGAGGTATAAATGATATGGGAGAAAGGATTAAGACTGGATAGAGGAGAACATCCGGAAAGCAAAGAAAATAGACAGAGAAGGAAAAGTAAGTTCAAGTGGAGATGGTAATTAAGTGAGAAAAATAGAGGGAAATGTAGAGGAATGAAAAGTTAGACCAAAGGAGAGAAGCCAGTTAAGAGAGGATGGTTACACTCCAGGAAAAAGGGAGGAGCCAGCTAGATGAGTTAAGGAATAAAAGAGGGACAGAGGAAGACAGTAACAACACGAGGAAGGCAACAATGTAAAAGAGGATGAAATAAATAACAACTTAAGGCAAAGAATGAAAGAGAAGAAAAAGGAATGACGGAGGGGAAAAGAAAAAAAGGTGAGTCTGAAAAAAAATTAGGACAAAAAAAAGGAGGACAGAAATAGAAGAAATAAGCTAAAACAAAGAGAGGGAAGAATAAAGGAGAGAAGGAATAATGAAGAGTGGAAGATGAGTTCAGGAGGAAAGGAAGAGAGGGAGGACGTGAAGAGTGAAGGAGGAGGGATGGACAGATGGAGGAGTGGGACCCCAGAGACGTGTCATTCATCACACCACCGTGCAATCTGCACTCCTTCGCCCTCTTTCTCCCATCTTTGTTTTCTTTCTTTAGCTTTTTATGCCCACCATCCGCTCCGTTTTTCGCTTCCCATCCCTCGGTTGCAGAGTCTTACTCAGTCGTTCCACCATCATGCTGATGACATCCTCCCTTTCACCACTTACAAATATTTTGGACCACCCCACCATTTTTTAATGTTCCGTGGCAACAGGAGGAAGTTTTTTTTAAAAAGTAGAAAAAAAGCAAACAGAAGGAGGAGTCAGGAAAACATGGAAGGATGGCAGCCAAAAATGGGAAATGGAGTAAAACTGAGGACAAGAAAGCTGTAAAGACAGACATGAGGCAAACATGAAGTGATACGGGGATGAAAGGAGGTAAAAGAAAAGAACGAGAGCTTGATAAATAAAATGTCGTTGGAGGTGGGAAACCGAACAGAGGGGTCAAAGACTGCGATGGAAGTGAATTCAAGATTCTTATTATTCTTATTTCAGAAGTTCAGGTTGACACAAAAGCTGTTTTGCTCTTGGTGAGAATGAGGTGGAAGAAAAAGCAACAAAAAAAACTTCTGAAACTCTACATTCTTCACTGGACAATTAAACAAGGAGCAGCGTGCTGCCTCAAACACTTTTAGTTTACTCCTTTTGCAGCTGATGCTAACTTCTAACTGTCCATCAAACACCGAGGCAAAAATTATTTAGCCACTGGCTCACGTGGGCTAACTTTTAGCCTGATGTTAGAAATAAAATCTGCAGTTCTGGCCAGATCCCCGGGACTGAAAACCGAATATCTAATCTTCCACCTGTAATTTTACTCAAACTAAAGGATGACATGGAGGGGAACACCTGTGAAAGTAAACGGGAAAAGAAAGAAAGAGAATAGAAGTGTGATTTGTGTCTCACCAGTGTGGGACAGCAGGTTGGGGGACAGCAGGCCGGGGAGCCCCGGGTGCAGCAGCCTGGGGCTTTCTTGGATCCCGGCACCAGAGCAGCGCTTGGGAGGACGACCCGGCCGAGAGCTGCAGGGGTAAAACAGAGAAAACCTTTTGAATGAGCCCAAGTTGAAACCAGATTTTCAGAGCTAAGCAGGGAAATAAGGTCATGACATAAATCTTACACGTCATCCTCAACAAACGTTACAACAAAAAGACACTCAAAGAAGAAACATTCAGTCTAAAAAATTCAGAATAAGTTGATTTTTTTTTTTTTTTTTTTACTGTCTTTTGTTCAAAGAAACTAAACCAGACTCAGCGACTTGTTCCCTAACGTTCTAATACTGGATCAGAACCTGATGAAGAACCTCCTGATCTATAAGGTCCCTAAAGACTAGTGAGTGTTTTTAAAATGTGTTTCCAAGAAAGATTTCAGGGGAAATCTCAAAACAATATACATTTTATATGAAGACAATACACAAATACCAATAAAAAGATTAAGATCTCATAACAAAAAAAGTAGCATTTACAGTTCACTGTAAGGTTTGAAATTTTATCTATCATACGGGTCATTTATTTTTTGTGGTCTTGCTGGTTTATAAATCTTAAATCAAACAGATTTTATATGTTATGATTCATTAATTTTATATTTTGTTTATTGTTTATTGTTCTTAAATGTAAAAAAGGCATTTTTCATTCAATTGAAAATATTAGGAACTAATAAAAGTGAAGTACAAAATAACATTTATGTTTGGCTTTTATAAGTCAAGGCAGTCATTTATTTACTGTGGCAATAGGACTCATCTCCTTTTCTATTTTTTACACTTCTGCACTTTTTTACAGTTTGTGATCCTCTTGAGCTCAGAAATTAAAAACTTGTGTGGCTTTCTGTGGGTCTGGTGTCACCTCAGCCGTCAGACACTAACAGCTGGATGCTCCAGCAGACACAGCAGGTCAGTCAGACGGAATCAAGTCACAACCTGACAGTAAACAGCAGCCTGGGAGACTTTTCACTGGCTCACGGGCTGGGGGAAAGTTGCACCTTATTGGTCTAAAAAACACTGAGGTGACATGTAATTGATCGTTCCTGGTCAGTATCACTGGGGAGAAAGTGATCAAGCACTTTTATTACGGATACATTTTAGACAGGATAAATAAAATATGTTTTGCAGCAGCCAGTAATCTAGGATACATGTAATTTATCAAACTGAGTACTGGGCTGATCACAAGTGCAAAGCTAATTCAAACAAAATAAAAAAAATGCCAATAATCTTGGATATTTTGTGGTCTTTTTTGAGTGTCAAAAGATGGTTGCACTTGTTCAGAATTTTTTGCAAGCGACTGATAGTCTGAAATTTAATATTAAAAAAGAAATAGAAATAGAAATAGAAATTAGAAATGTATGCTAAGGCAACAGCCATCATATATGAAGTATCTAGCTGCTCACAGATAATCTGTCTTATAGAACTATAAAGGTTACAATTAGACAAGTTGAAAAAAAAAGTGTATTTCTTCTGTCCATTTAAATGCGTTGGACATGCACCGATCTCTTTGGCTACCACAATATATTAATTTGTATGTGAGATTTTATTACTGGTTTTAAGTTAGTTAAAACCAGAAATATCAAAGCATTCAACTATTTTTGATAAACACTAACAAGCAAAACTGAATATCATTCTTAAATGCATTTTTTGTTACAATAAAAGTGTCCTTTTAACATTTTATCAGGTCACTAGACTTTTTCAGTGCATCCTTGGAAAGTCAAATTTTTCTCATTTTGTTGTCAGATGATTTCATTAATTTAACTTTTTCCTGACATTTTTTTAAACTTTACTTTTAGCTTTCTATTACTAAAAAGCAGTACGGTGGGGACTCAAGAAGGGATAAAAAGGTAAGCTAAACCATCAGATTTCAGGTTTCAGGTTTCATTATTAAAAATGTAATTTATTCATTGAGGGGATGCGACAAATGAGGCGACATTAGCTTCTAGAGGGACTAAATATGTCAACAATGTATAAAACAGCATCCTCCTTCCACAGACAAACACAGGATTACATGTTCTACATGTGCAAGTGAAGCTGAATAAACACCCAACACACTCAAGCAGCTTTCGTACCCTCCAGTTTTGTCTCACACACGCACATAACCTACTCTATTATGCATGTGCACGTAGGCATAAATAACCACACTCAAATACAAGAATACAGTAACTACACACATGGAATTTAACATAAAGGAAGGTACACACACTCTCACACACACTCAGGAGGTGCGCATGCAGGCCAACTCTCTGCAGGGTGGCTAAGTAACAGATGGCCGTCCAAAGTCATTTACACCTAGAGAGAGAAAAAATAAAACCTGTATATGACAAACACCACAGTGTCACTGCATGAGAGCAGAAATGAACAGAGCCAACTCAAAATATATATCCAGTAGGTTAAATAAGGGCATAAAATGGAAAAGCACAACATGGACTCTATGTCTAAGTTTACCAAAACTACATTTGTGACACTGATTTTCTACTTTTGCTGTCGATGTGGCCCTGTCAGGTAAAAAAAACCTCTTAAACATGTGTCTTTATAATAACATCTTAACATTTTTGTCATATTTAACCATCAGAATGCTTTATGATAGTTTCTTTGGACAGAATATGGGTTCCCTGCATAAGAGAATAGCAAAAGTTAGCTTAGAATTTTTCTGACCTGTTTACTGTAACATATGGTGAGCTATTGATTTTTTTTTTTACTTTGCACAAGCAATCCAATGGAGCATTTTTGCCAATTCTGAATATAAAAACAATTAATGTAAGAGGCTAAGAGGGGGATTTCTAAAAGAAACTAACTTATCTTATATTGTTGAGTGCAAATATGATTCAGCTGATTATAAATGGCATATTATGCAAGGTGTCTCTCATATCCAAGGCTCTGCTGTCAGCCCTGTACGTTTTTCCTCCAACTTGAATAGTTTCTGAGATTGCCTTAAAGTACACCTGGAAATGTGCCCTACAAATTGGGAGCGCTGCAGTAACTGAATTAAGAACGGAGGCTTCTCCAGAGCAGCAACAGTTACTATTGAGGGTGTGGCTTAGGTAAAGTCACTCACTCCAGTATTCGAACTGATCAGAGCCCATGTCAGGCTTTTTAGGAACATGCTGAATAAATCGCTCGGTCTCCCACTGGGAGGAGACTGGGGTGGGCGGGATGGGGGTGTGTGTGCTAAAAGATATGAAAGAGAAAACGACTGCAAATGTTTTTGGGTGTGATCCCTATGTGAGAAACACACTCACACAGAAAGAGAGGAAGGCAGAGGGGCATGAAGAGATGAAAATATGAACCTTCACTTTTCCTCTGAACTCTGCTTCACCT